AACAATACGTAATGTAATGTATAAAATAGCATAACATGATATATTGAATTTTAAAAATAAATCAGTATATAAATACGAGAAATATAGCTTATTGTAACATATGGAAACACAAATTAGGAGAAATCAGAATTAAATAGCATAAAGTAACATAGTTCTACTGAAATCATGTGAAAGAAGAAGGACTGAAGTAAGCAATAAACGGTATCTCACTGGTATCGAATAAGAAATAAACCACGTTTGAATTTTATTGGGAGGGGGGGGGGGGGGAGGGGGGGGTCAAGCCTCCATCCCCTGTTAGTATGCCAAGGTAGAGTCAGACCCACAATCTTGAAATATTTACTTTCAGTGTCGTAGTTCTGGGGGCACGTGGGGAACACTCCCCCTGTCGAATGGAAAAAACGATAGAAAATGGAAAGGGAGGGAGAGAGAGAGAGAGAGAGAAAAGAAGAATAAGAAAAAGAAGATTTACAGAGAAGGGGAAGTAACGTGAAAAGATCATGACACCCCCCCCCCCCCACACACACACACACACGCACACACACACACGTCCATGTAGTACAACCCCCGGCCTCATGATGCCGATACCTCCCCACTGTCTTGGTCTGCGCTACTGTAAAATGGGGAATTTCGCCCATTTTACCTTTGCGTATCATTGTTGTCATTGGCTATCGACACGTTTTTTGATTGTATGCAATGACGTCATCGCCATATTGAACCCCATATATGTCATGCATCATGATAATCGAGAAATGCTTGGTTTACCTGGTATGATACTTTGAATACCTGAGCACCCGAAAAGAGAATACATCAAGGTTTTTTTATTGGAAATGAATTATCGGTAATTAAGAACTCTTTTTTTTTCCTCCCCCAGACGTATTTTTAGAACGCGTTATGTACTGATCAAGTCACGTAATTATGTATTTTTTTTATACGTAGCCCTATTCATTTATTTATGTATTTACAACTTGTGGGATGGAGCACTCGTGCTAGTGTTCACCAGGGTCCATATATGGCAGTAAGAGACAGTAAGATAAGTGGAGAGAATATGAAAGAGAAAAGGAGAAAGAAAAAGAGAAGGAGAGAAAAGTAAAGGAACAAAGATAGACATGTATGAGCATATTACATACAGAGAAATTGAGTCATGGAGAAAGATAGATAGAGACACAGTGAGACAGAGAGAGAAAGAGAGAGAGAGAAAGAAAGAGAGAGGGAGAGGGAGAGAGAGAGAGAGAGAGAGAGAGAGAGAGAGGGATGGAGAGGAGGGAGAGAGAGAAAGAGAGAGAGAGAGGGAGAGAGAGAGGGGGAGAGAGAGAGAGAGAATGAGAGAGAGGAAAGGGAGAGGCTTTATGATCTAAACATAATAATCATTTACTCTAGTATTTAAATATTCTCAGCCAGCTGTTCATCACGAATGTCACTTTAAAATTGAAAAAAGGTAAATGCTTTATTATTGTTTTTTCTTTATCCTCACGAAAACTTGAATACAAACAGGCTTACAACATATACATATTAAATATCTTTTTAATGGATACATTTAAATACATATAAATGGATGTACTCCTACCCCCCCCCCCTCCCCCTCAGCCGAAAAAAAATAAAATGCATGAGGGAAATGAGGTGCACAGACCCAAAATGAGTTGATTATCATAATTCATTACACAAAGGAACTAGCTGGATGAATAAATTCATTCTAGATTATACGCGAAACAGGAAGAACTTGGAATAAAATTCTTAAATCATGAAACTCACATATGAATAGAATTTTTTTTTATTTGGAAGGTTGAAACGTGCTGACTACTTTGACTATTTATATACATAAATGGAAATATAAATGACGTTGGGTGTGTACGTTTACAGTCATGTTTACATCAATCATTTTGAACAATGCAATAAAACGGTAGTATAGTAACAATGTATGCAGTATGATTTCGTAACACACTGCTTCCCATAAAATGTGAATATTTTTTCTTATCTCTTTTCATGAAATCATTGTGAGAATATTGGTCATTCTTGATAGATAAAGTTTATATCTTCTCATAGCTGTATTGGTCTAAAATTGGTTTAAAATTAAATATAAACAATTTCTGTTAAAAAAGTATAATAATCAGTATTAATAGCATGGGTAAATTTGACACCTTTTTTTTACTCTATTTGTACATGACAGTATGTTTTGGTATGTTTTTTTTGTTTTTGTTCTGTTCTTTTGTTCATGTTTCTTTTTTTCCTGTATGCATGTGTTTTTGGGGTAGGCTTTCATATAAGGAACCCCTCCTTTCTGCCTATCCCAAATGCTCTCATAAATTGCCCTTGTTATTTGTTATCACTATCTTGTTTTTTATCATTCCATTCTGTATTTGTATGTTTTAAATGTCTTTATGAAGAGTGTTGAATAATTTTGAACTTGAATTTGAACTTGAACTTGGTCAATCTGTATGACTCTTTAGATACATCAACGAATGTGTAAGAGGATATCAACTTTATTTACCAAGAATGAATTATATTGTCACAGTCATTTTATGGAAAGAGGTTTTAAAAAATCGTTCTAACTCCATGGGCAACAGTGTAGATTCTTCCCATATTTCTTACCGATTCAGACACCCAGAGCATGAATAATGATAATTGTAGAAGTAGTAAACATAATGTCATGTTGTTAAATTGGTCATCCATTTTTAGACATTCCCTGTAGAATTGTAGATACTTCAATGAATTCATAGTCTGTCTTCAAATCGTTTTTTGGCAGCAGTTGAAAGATCTGTCGTCATGTTTTTTACAGAGCATTTATTAGTGGTGTTTATAGCTATACAGAGGGAAGGGGAGGGGCTGGCACGGAAGCCACACGCCCTTATCAAGTTTTAGAAATAAAATAAATAAATGAATAAAAAGGTAAACCAAAGGAGAGAAAGAGAAAGCCTATAAACATTGCGGCACCTCAACCCATCCCCTTACATGATGGTCATATTCTCTGGAATGTCATCAATGAGCATGACCGCTACCATCTCCCCCATGACTCCAGTGCCTCTTTAAAGATTGGACCAATGCTACACCACTACCTTCAAAACGTTGTTTACAAAAAATCTTGTCGGTGCTTGTGACTTATCGGTGAAGTCTGTATTCACTAAGACTGATACAATTCTGTTACTGACTGAATGCGGAATTTTGCGAAAACATGTGAAGCCTTTCAAAATGTAAATTGGGATTTGGTATGGTATGGTATGGTATGGTATGGTATATTTTATTTATTCACGGTTAAAAACATAATACAATTGTGCCCGCATTCAGCAAAAGCTGTTTTTCAGCAGGGCCGTGATTACATATAACAGAAAATAAAACAATGAAAATACAATTTACAAACAAATATGCAAGTTATAATAAGTGAACATATTTACAGAAATAGAATCAAAGTACAAAATAGAATCATAGTGATAAAGTGAGGGGGGGGGAAAAAAAGAAAAAAAAAAAAATTATCTACGAGATGGAAGAAGTGAGCAAAAATATCTTGAATTTTACTAATCTCAGTGTTGTAAGATTTAAAAACATTTATAATTCTGATATCGTTGGGTAGGGTATTAAAAAGTTTTGATGCATGATATAATGGACTATGTTGAATAAAATTAGTGTGAGGTCTTGGAAGGGGGATTTGTGAATTTGCGTAGCGGAACCTATAGCTTACATTAGTATTAAATTGGATCAATGACGATAAAACAGGTGGACCAAGATTATGTAACAACTTAAATATAGTAACTAAAGCCTGTTTGACCCAGTATTCTTTTAGCATGTCAATTTCAAGGGTTTTATAAAGAATTTCAGTGTGATATCTACTATTCACTCCAAGTACAGATCTCAAACACCTATTTTGTAGAGTTTGAAGTTGTTTTAACCGAGTTTCTCTACCGTTCATCCAAATCGTGCTGCAATAAGCGAAATGAGGCTGAATTGTCTCATTCGCTTTAAAGCAAAATATGTCTTTAAAACCTTTTTCTTTACATGGTCTATTTGTGGGTTCCATGAGAAATTGCAATCAAGCAAAATCCCAAGATATTTGCATTCCATTACTCTAAGTAATTTTTTGTTATTCAGACGAATATCAATATTACAGAAACGACTCAAATTTGACTTTGAGCCGGTTAACATGACCTGACATTTGTCAACGTTAAGCAACAATTCATTATTTGAAAACCATTTCGTAGCTGATTTCAAATCATCATTGATTACTTTCTCTAATATCTTTGGGTCTTTTGATGCAAAATACATGCAAGTGTCATTCTAACCTAGACCTCGTGGCTACACGAATATTCTTACATTCTTACCATGAGACAAATTGTATTTTTCACTCTTAGTTTAAAAAAAGAGTAAAATAAACACATCTTATAAAATAGGAAGTCTATGGCATTAGCATGTATTGCAAATTATTGATAACAAAACAATACTATGCCGATAATTACGCTGATGGCAACTATAATGATGATGATGATGATGTTGGTGGCAGTGATTGTCATGATGATGATGGATCTTGTAATGGTGATAATGATGCTGGCAGTGATGGTCATAATGATGGTGATGGATCTTTTAATGACGATGACGATGATGATGAGTTTGATGATGGTGATGATGACGATAATGATGATAACGATAGTGATGATAACGATAGTGATGATAACGATAGTGATGATAGAGATGATGATAACGAAGGTGTCGCTCATAGTCGCTGCCGATGATCATGCTGACGACGCGAGATAATGACGATCATTTCAATGAAAATATATTATACAGGAATACTAGTATTGAAATCAAAGGTTATCATTATAAACTATTAATTAACTAAAGATAAATTTGATTTGTGATTCATTAAACAGATTATTCTGTACAAGCTTAGGGTTATTAGATGGAAAGCATTGATTTAACGCTGCAAATTTTCGAAATCATTAGAGCATAAACTTGATGTCATTCTACTTGATTACAATTCTCTCCCACAGTAGAAAAAAAAAAAAAAAAAAAAAAAAAAAAAAAAAACAGTTATATATATATTTTTTTCTTCAAGACTGCACGTTGCGTACGAGGTGTTATCCGGTAACGCAAGACTGTGTCAGCGACTGGTGCGGCCTTTGACGCGCCATGTCCTCGTACAAAATGCGACTGCAAAATAAGACGTGTAATACTGTTCCATTAAAATACTGGTGCATGATTTCAGGCTCATTCAGATATGCGCGGTAAACCGTCGCAAAAACGGCAACCGGCAACAGCGCGCAACAAAAGGCAAGTATTCACTAAACTATGTGTTATATAATTTAGGATTTGAAGCGTATTACCATATACGTTATCATAACCGCCGCGGTTTTGCCGTTTCATATCTGATAATCTGAACAAGCCTTTAGGCGTAATTGATCCTCAAAGACATATACTGATATAGGTCTGATTAACGCAAATAATAACGCAATCAAAATGACACCTCTTGTAAAAATGCTATGATGCTATAATAATTGTCAACGCTATTGATAGCTGTATATCAGTAACTACAAGAGAGCGTCTTCGATATGCTGGAATCCCTGCATCGAACCTCCTCTTCGTCCACATGTTTGTTCGGTCTCCAAGTACTTCGCTACCTCGTCCACCGCGTCGTAACGTTCTGCGTCACGAAGTACTCCATAGAGCCATCGACAGTCCTTTCCTTTCTGCGCTGCGACGTCCAACAATTCCTCAGTAGGGCTCGGCTTCATACGAATCAGACTCACCAAGGCATCTAGATTGAGGCTTTCAGCCAGAACACGCCAGTCATTGACCGAGGATGTGACGGAGCTTGGAGGGTCCAGCAAGGCTGTGAGCTTTGACCGAAGCCGAAGAGGGAAGACAGCGATAGGAGGGTCGTCTTGCAGGAGCTGACGGTGATCGAGGGATTTTGAAGGTTGAACTACATTCCCCTGGATGGAGATGAAAGAAAAAGAATCACAGTCGAATTGAACGGCATTATTGATGACAAAAACGTATTCATCCCTTTCACGATTTACAAATTGACTCCTGAGTTGTTTCAGTCCATAATGTCAAAGATGAAATGAATTCTAATCTAATACAATGGCTGCTTGATGTTAAATACTCTGTAAACTCCTAATTACCTGCTAACACAGTTTTCAATCGATAGAGACATCATTATTGTGACATAAGTGACATAATCATTTTTCGACGATGCGTGCGTGTGCGTGTGTGTGTGAGCGTGTGTGTATGTGTATGTGGGTGATTTCATCTTTGTTTCATCAATTGTACAGTTTATGTAATGAAAAATGTTTGAATTCATGTCAACGAAAAAAAACTATTTTATTTCTAAAATTAATTTGTATTGTTTGGAATCAATAATAATAAAAAAAAAACTATTTGCCTTCTTTTTTGAAGGGGTGTTATGTTTTTAATTGGTTCTTAGTGTATATATAGCGAAGTTGGATTGTTTGTGAAGGTTAATTCATTGTCTTGGCTTGTATAAAGATGTAATTATTTTATTTCTGATCTAACTGTTTCTAGGTTTTTTTTTTATTCAAGATGAATTGTTTATGTATGGTTTATGCATTGAATGGAATCAATTAAGAATATTGAAAAACAATCATTATTATAGCTTAAAGCAATTTCTTCACATTTGCAGAACAATCTGTTCAAAAATGCCCAAAAATTTACCGACAGAATTTTAAATAAAGCAAAATAATCACTGAATATCCCTTACTGAGGGGGTGGACAGGACTCTGGTCAGAACATGAAATGGAACATATATAGTCAGTATTAGGTTTTTAGAACTTCATCGATGCTGACTGATTTCTTCTTAAAGGAGAAAAGGCTTTAAAGATCAAACGGACAAGACATGCAAATGTAGAAACGAACAGTGAGGACACTGTGCTACAAGGAGATAAGATATATGGACTAAAATGAAAGTGAATGAGCTGGCTAGTAAAGGCAAATACTAAGAAAGAAAACTATAAAGAAGATTTCGTATCCCATTAAAGTTATACTTATTATTAGAAAGTGAGGCAGAAAGAAGTATTTACTTACCGTGTGGATATTGATATGTGTTGTGTTTCTCGATTTGGTACTCTCAGAATATTCCGTCGGCATTTGTCCTCGTGTGCTTTTGACGAGGTGAGTTTTTTTCGTGGTTGATGTGACTTCCTCAAAATCCCCACCTTCATCGTCGTCGTCGTCACTCTCTTCGCTGCCATCATACGCCTGATCTCCCCCGCAACAACCAGACACGTCTATGTGGTATGAATGACCATCTTTGTCGTCGTTATCAGTATTGCTCTCGTTATTGGTGACCTGGTAATGATCCATGACCACCGACTTAAAAGAGGTCGTCTCCGACGCAGTGGTCGAAATACCGCTGTCGAACCCGTTGATGACAAACGAAGGCAGAGCAGGGGAAAGATTCACATTAAGATTGGTGGTGGGATGTAGGTATCTCCGAGTGCTCCTGGGTGGACCTTTGATTTGAAACGACATGGCAACTTCGAAGTGTCGCTTAACGTCAGGCATGTCCTTCTGAAAGAGACAGATATTAAAGTTGAGGTCTGTGCAGGATGGGTTATCGTGTTTGAACGTGAAGGAAATGTTGTTGCACTTCCCTTGCCAGATGTCAGGAAAGAGGCCGATCTCCTCCCATTTGCGCCCTACAGGATTCCACCCCTCACTCACGTGTTTCAAATCAAAGACGAGGTCCCCTCCTTCCTCATCAATCAAGAACTCTACAGGACATCGAATCATTGAGCAATTATACTTTGCTTGTTGCTGAGTAGCGAACTGCAGAGCACATGGTGTGTTGTTGAGCATGTATATAAACACCTGGAATTGTCCTCCCTCTTTCTTTCCGAACGCGGCAAGCTGAATCCACTTCTTGGTCAACCGAGGATGTGAACCTTGTGCGATACAGGTGTAGAGAGAGAAGTGAGATAGGTACACCTGACACTGGTTTTCAAGAAGCGCGTATTCAACCTTGCCACATTTCTTCCGATGCTGGATTGGTTTCCAGTGTTTGTCCTGAGTCAAATGCGTCTCGCTGGACAACACCGCGATGTCTTGAACATCATCAGCACAATGCATAAAGCTTAGGATGGCTGGTTTTAAGAGCTTAAGTCCATGTGGACCACAGTGAACCACAGGACTTATAATAGTCTGGGTGTCTGTCATTGGTGGGAAGTCACTGAGATCCCAGTCAAGTACCAATTGGATGATCTGCTTCTTACCGCGAGGGATGGCACAGGGTGGAATTAGAAGTGAGATACCCATCTTGTCCAGAACAAGAGTTCCACCTGAATCATCGATCTCCCTTGACATAAACACTAACAGTTTGCTGTCGACCTCAACAGTGACACTTTCCCTCATATCTGTTTTTAACAATTCAATCAACTCGCCGTCGATACGTCCACTACCACAACTGTTAGGAGTTAATATATCCACCTGTTCATGAGCCATAGTTAGGTCGTTCTCGTTAACATGGTGACCACTTGAGTCACCATCACAAGGACCACAACCCGGAGTCCATCCATTCTGGGAGCCTTCGTCCTCCAGCTCTTGGACATACGCAGGATTCACTTTAGTGTTCTCATGGGCCCTCATTTGGTAATTGGTCATCGAATTGATGGCGTTTGATATAATGCAGTTGGAAGGGTTATGATGAAACAGCGAGGTCGGACGTTCGACATCGCGCTCTGAACGACGTCGCTGACCCTTTTTCCATTTGAGTACGGCGATGTAGATTACCAACAACGTAAGGATTATCACCAATAGCACAATGACAACGCTTAAGACTGCTGCTGTGATAGTCTGGTGAGTATTATTGCCTTTGGCATCCATCGTAAAAACATTTCCTCCTGATGCTCTGCCTCAAATCTTTGGATCGAATTCCAGATAGATTCTAAATTTCAAGAGTGAACCATACCATTTTACAAAGTAGTGAATTCAGATACTTTCCACAGATTGCACTGCATTTGAGTGAAATTTGGTCATTATTGTTTGCTCTCAGTCATCTCCTACAGTAGTAGTACAAAATGAATTCAAAGATATTTTCCACGATCAGTCTAATGTTCCACAATCGAAACGGAGGTGTACGTGTATGAAGATCGGCGACGTTTCCCTTGTTCTCTGTCTAAATATCTGCATCGTAAGGTAAACATCGCAGCAAGGACAAAATCTCTATGGAATGCAAGTATTCATATAATGTTATCACCCATGAAAATACCTGGTTCGGCTCTCTGCTCTCCAATACAAATATGAATCTCTTTCAATCTACTCCGAATGATAAACACTCAAGCATAATCAATCCCCTTTGAACTTCAAACAGTCTGAGAGCAAACTTATGCTGATCTTTCTTAGCACTTAAAAGAATTTGACGATCGGTGGTTGAACTGTCCAAGCGGATCTTTCGGCTTGGACCTATAAGTTTGTTCAAAACAGGTCGCTCCAAGATTCTATGACAAATAAAGACAATGAATAGAGAGAGAGAGAGATAAGTTGTATTACTGATTACGTGAAATGTCATTTTCGTCCGAAGTTTATGTTTGTTTTCTGATGAGGAAAAAACGCTCACGTATTGTCGTATATCATGCAGGTGAGTCAGGTTTTGCCCTTGACCTATAGACGATACTTGAAAGGATTCAAATAACCAGCTCATATTAAACATTCAAGAGCATCTTGTATTCCGGCAATAAAATACCCTTTGAAAGAAAATGTCTGGACAAAAAAAACTTTAAATCCAATTCGCAAAAGAAAAACAATAGTAGTCCTTCGTCCTTCCAAGGAGCGGTTCTAGAAAACTATTTTCTTTCCCTTTTTAAAAGAGGGATGGGGTCGAGTATTCTTCTTTCTGGGGCTTGGATAAATGTTAGGGCATGAAAACCAAAACAAATGTTGAATTGTTACTGCTCTTTCCCGCATACTTTTCAATTCATGTATTCTTAAACATGTAGAGGTCATGGCTGAGAATTATTTAAATGGTCAATGAGCTCCGTTTGCAATTTTTTTTTAAATTCATATTTTATCTTATATCCTATAATAAGAGAAGGTTAATGAATATTGTAATGTCTTACGACTACTATATGACAATCACGGACAACAATCTAAAGAAATTAATGAAAAATCCATAAAAGCAAGGACTGGTTGTATTGGTGCAATTTCCTGTTCAGGAGTGATAAATCACTTCCAACTATTTGAATTACACCTCATTCACTATGTTCAGTTTGATTAAGTATCGAGCTTGTCGAGTAATCCTTTCATTTTATTTCTAGTGTGTTAGAGGTTATTAAGAGGTGGGAATACTTCTGTGGTGTATTGGTGAAGGATCTAGACTCGGTAGCGAGTCAAGAGGGGGTGGGGGTGGGGTGTTTTGGGGGTTCCCCTGAAACAAAAATCTCAAGCATCTCAAGCCCCTCCAAAATATATTCATCTAGAGCCGTGCCTGTCTTGACTATCTTACATGAGGTTCCAGGTTCGAGACTTACTCCAAGATTACACACATGGACCGAGTGTTTTGCCCACATTTCCCCCTCTGCATTTAGGTGTAATAGTTTTTGTTTAAACCGTCATAAGGCATAGGGCCCGCAGGAAGGGTAGTTTTAAAGATACTATGTCCCTTTTGCAGCCAACATCAAATTCTGTAGAACTTTGCAGGAATTATGAATATATCATGTATGTCCTATTTGTGAAATTTAAACATAAGCAGTGTCCTAGTATTCAAATTATGCAAGGAAACCGGTTAACTTCTAGACTTCACGGTCAGTCACCTTTTTTCCTTGGTATTTACATACATAAAATGAGCTATAACAGGTACATGAGCATTTGTTTACATCAATAACCCATTCCTGGCCAAAATTAAACTGATTGAATCTTTGTGCAGCACAAAACGTACGACCATTCGGTAAAAGGGTCTGAAAATCATACTATTACTTAGGTGATTGCAATCACTTAAGTCGATTCGACAACTTACTTAAGGTCGTTATTTTCCCACTAAAATCCATTTTCAAGCCCTTTCGTTTTGAGGGAAGTTCTAAATTAGTATTGTCTTTCAAATGCCGTTAGAATTTAACCATTTCATTTGTTTGGCCAGCAAATGGGACATAATACCTTTAATGGACCAAAATAAGACCGAATCTTTGTTAATGTCTCAGAATATTAATTACACCCTACTAATTTTTGGTCTTTTGTTATCATTTAGTTGTATTCTCATTAAATTATTAGATGTATAGGACTACTTCTTCAAAACTGGTACGAAGTTTTTTAAATCTTTTTACATGTTTTGGTTTAATTATGGACTCGAACCTCAATGAATCATGTATAGGCCTAATGATATAATGATAACATTGATAACAAATAATAAATTATAATTATAATAATAATGATGAAAATAATATGAATAATAATAATAATGACTAATTATAATAGTGGGTTCTTGTAAAGTGATCGGGTCTGGTGCTCCAGTTTAAACAAAATAATTGATCGTTAAATGAAGAAAGCACCTTATAACATTTACTACGATTAAATTCAGACCCGATCAAGCATTGTTAAAAAATCAGTGATTGACCCATTGTAATACCCAACCGCGGTCGCACTTCACAATGGTCGTCGGTCTAAAGTCCATACCACTATTCTATATCTAGCATTCTTCAATATATACTCGTATATTTCTGCGATAGCCCTAACAAAACATCACATGATTCACATCCATTACTTCATTAAAATTTTATTTAAATTATGTGCTTACCTGAATACCGTCATGAACTTTGCAAATTAATTCACCAAGTCGATGCTGCCTTCACGTAGAATAAATCAGTCGAAAATACTGTTTTCACGTTCGTCGTGTAGTACGCTGCATGTCTTCAATACTCGTAACAGCAAGGGAGACGAATAGTCGCAATATAAACCCACAATTTAGGAATTCTAGATCAAAAGTGACTGATCAAAACTCCAATGAAACAGGTTAATACATCGTAACATTTTACCTATCTCGAAGGCTTCGGTTACTATTAGATAATGTCAAATCAATATACAGAGGCAGTGAAATCACACTAGTCTTTACTGAACGAGAGAGTGTCGAATGTAGTCTTCATAAACAAACCGTTTGTGTGGCTTAAGACGAGAATGAACACAATATTTTTCAAAGTTGATAAAAGATCGATACAAAATTCCTTCAGTTCTTTTTTCCTTAATCCTTACAAGGGAAACAGACTGAAGACTAGTTTCTGGGTAATTGAGTGAGAGTTTTATCATGTTTACTGGAAACACTGGAATAGTATGAGACCCGAACGTAGACTATCATGACGTGTTCTTTTGTTGGTGTTGTTGCATCAAAATGGGGATTTCCCTATTCACTGGATGACATCATTTTTTAATGGGCGTGTGCCGAGCGAATACCTGGGTTTCTTTTACGTGTATGTATTCACAAAAGCTGAAGCCTATATACATTCCAATATGTGCCATGAGCACCGAAAAGTGGAAGCCACTATTTTTATTATTATTTTGAAGGGGTACGGGTTAGGAAGGGGTGCGGGTTTGGAAGGGTGTTCAATTCAAATTTGCCGACAAGTTTGAGTGTACATGTATATAAAGCGCGTCCCTTCGATCTATTCTCGATCCATGCAGGCTCGGGTTTAGGTAAATACAATCCGCTCCTCGAAAAGAACGTGAAGTAAAGGTCCCGTATGTAGGAGAGTCACACCCAATGCACGTTAATACGCTACACGATGTAAGACCGGTGTTTAGTGTGCCTACATATTTTTTGACGGGGGGGGGGGGGGGTTAGGTAACAGCTGGGAGGCAAGGCCCTTTCGGTCCCCCGATCTCCTTCTTTCCCCCCCCCTTTTTTCTTCTTCCTCTTCTTTCTTTTCCTTTCTCTCCTCTTTCTCTTTCCCTTCTCTCTTTCTCTCTCTATTTTTTTTTGCGGGGGGGGGGGGCAGGGCCCGCTGCCCCCCTGGATCCGCGTCTGTCTACATAGCACTATTTTATAGTAGAAGTAGCAGCAGTAGTAATATAGTATAAACATAATCAGCAGCAGTCGCAGCAGCAATTGAAGTATAGTATAATTTGTACAGCATCACCAGTCTGAACTTTTCTCTGCGTTTGCTCGAGTTTGGTCCAGTCAAGTTGTTGAAGCATGGAGGTCGCTAGAGGTCTTGTGGTACCGATTTAGGGTGAATCTAGCGGCCTGTCCCTGTACCATTTCTATTAGATAGATGTGTTTTGCAGAGGAGGGATCCCACACTGTGGCACTGCACTCAACGAGTGGTCTTACTAGAGCTTTAATTGGCAGTACTCTACAAGTCTGGTGAGTTGATCCGGAGATTTCGTCGGAGGAAGGCGAGGGTGTTGTTTGCTTTCTGGCATATACTTGTGATGTGTTTGTCCCATTTCAAGTCGGATATGAGTGTGATGCCAAGCTACTTGGTTGATGAGACTTCTTCCAGTTGTGTTTTGTTCAGGATGTACTGCATGGTGTCGTGTATGGCTCTTCTTCCTGGATACTGTGATGGCCTTGCACTTGTCCGTATTGAGCTCCATTATCAATTCAGCGGACCATTCAGCGAGTATATTAAAGTCCTCCTGTAGTTCAAGAGGCTCTTGTCTGACCTCGATTACTGGGTCGCAGACGTACCGGAGAGGTGAGCTTGTCTGACAAGTCGTTGATGTAGTACAGGAATAGAGAGGGTCCTAGGACAGAGCCTTGGGGTACTCCTGAGTCGACGTCAACCTCAGGTGATGCACGGTATTCTAAAACGACTTGCTGGGTTCGATGGTGAAGAATGTTGATGATCCACCTGTTGCTTTTTCCTCTCACTCCATAGTGGTCCAGCTTGTGCAGTAGTTTCTGGTGACTGACCTTGTCGAAGGCTTTGTTGAAATCCATGACAAGGACATCAGTTTGCAGTCCTAGCTTCATGTTCTTGTGGAGGTCACTGACGAATCTCTTAGGTCGGAACCCATGTTGGAGGGGATGAATGATGTTCTTTTCATCGCCATGCCTCATGATGCTACTTGCAAGAATGTGCTCCATCATCTTGCAGCAGATGCATTGAGGGAGATTGGACGATAGATAGTTGCTTGGATCGGTTCTGTCGCCTTTCTTGTAGACAGGCACCACGTTTACTTTATGCCAGTCATCTGGTATCTCGCCGGTGGCATACGAGAGTCTGTAGATGCTGCATAATATAGGAGCGATGACCCTGGATGCGTGGGGGTGATCCCATCGGGCCCTGGCGCTTAATGTGTGAAAATCTTCTTGAACTGTTTATTCAGGGCATCAGCTTTCTCAGCAGGTTCACTAATGAGCATGCCGTCAGATTTGAGTTCCGCAATTCCAGCACTGTCGGTTTTGTTATGCTTGATGAGTTGTCAGAATCTCTTCATGCAGTTGTACTTCTCTGGACCTTCGTCATCATCTTCAACAGAAGTAAAGATGGAGTCGACATAGCTCCAGTAAGCTTTCCTGAGTTCGGTTTGGAGCGTTCTTTTGAGGTCACGGAGCTGCTCTTCCATAGCATATGGAATGAGGCCCTCTCTCTTCCAAAGGTGTTTGCATTTGTTGCTTAGTCTGTCGCGTTTATTTATAAGTCGTCTGAAGCTATTTGAAGATGAGCCATATCTCGTTCACAGAGGCATATGGTAGCTTAGCTTCTATCTCATCTTTGACTGATCCCAAGCTCTCAGCAAACTTCTCCCACTGAGCTTGGTGTAAAGTAATACTATCCTCCACATCTGCTGCCGCCTGGTTGGTCTCACATCTAGCTTGACGTGAGACACTCCTGGAGCAGCAGTAACCTCTATGACTACAGTTGGATGTTTGACAAGGAGTAAGTCAAGTGCGTCTGCCCAAGGAACCCTCAGTTTTCGCCGATACACGCACATTTTAAATGCATCTATTCTCTTTTCATATCTCTTCTAGTCATGGCCCATGTCTTACTTCCATAAGTAGCAATGTTTCTATTATGATATGATTGATATGACGTAATTTGTTTTATTTTTGTTTTATTTCTTCTTTCTTTTATTTTTATTTTGTGTTTGTAATAGTTTGCTTGTATCGCTTGTTTTGTAATCATTTAGGGTTTTGGGGCACTCTAAGTCTGAGATGCAGTGAACCAACTAATTGTTTTGCCCACCAGAGCTATGAGCATGCTCCGTGAGTGTCTGCTTCAGCACAATTTGTAAAATGTTTGGAAAGCCTATTGTAAATATTTTGTCCCCTTCAAAGTATAAAAGGCTGTTTTGTTAAATAGAATAGGCCTAAACGGATTCCAATAACAATACAAACTATGTGGTTTCATTCATCACTTAAATATGAACATAACAAGAAGTAAAAACAATATTCTGAATCTGGATACATTATGTGGACCCTACATGTACCCCCGAATTGTGTGTGTTTGTTCATGGGTAATAATGCATGCATTCATATGAATCACATGAGATTGCAATTGTATGAACGTATTTAGTTAGGGGCCTATGACCAACTTCGAAAAGGAAATGCATTTTATTTGAACCAGGAATATCGATGTGACCATTATTTGTTCACAGTCAGCGGTTATGTAGGGTGAAGTACAATTTATTTTATCATCTGAATTTCAATATCATGGGCGGTTTGAGATTAAAGCGACGGATAAACACCAAATATTCTTTTTTTTTCATGAAGTTCATCGGATATGACATATTTTATTATGACCATAACATAATATGTTGTACATTGTATATCTCCCAAACAGTATGCTTGTCTGTCAAAAGACGATAAAAATGGATACTGTATTAGTTTCCACAGTTGAGAAAGCCATTTATGGCGTAGCTAAGTGGGTACGGGCCTAGATCTAGGGCGCGATCCCAATCAAATAGTGAAGGAAAAAAAACAGAAAAGAGAGAGAAAAAACGAAAGATAGGGTGGAGACACCACATCGCGTGAAGTATAAACTCTCCATGCGCACATATTATACTCGATATACTCGTTCTCTCATATTCGTCCATCCATCCTTGACCGGTAACCCCACCCTTCCTCCGTAACCCCCCCCCCCCTCATGGCTAGAACCACACTACGCCATGGTGACTGCCAAATAGATCTTTCCTGTTAGCCTATACTACATATCAAATTAAAGAAGCGGTGTTTTCCGTATCGTCATGAGCAAACCGTTATTATTGTAAAGAATACAACTTTTCCTCATCTATCATGATAATGGGAAGCAAACTAGAACACGCGATGTACTATTAAACAAAATAATATTGATTCAAACAACACGAAATCGACAGTTGATTATATCGCAGTAAAAGTAAGGGTGATGGCGAAAAAACCCGGGGGGTACTCACATATTAGGACATACAGGGTTGTGCCGCTCTAATGGATCACTTTTTCACTCAAAAAAATCCCTAAACATGGGTCCCACAAAATACCATTAAGAATGGGTCCATTTTTTCAAAATTTCCAAGCGGCACACCACCGTCCAAACCAAATCTGAGTACCCCCCCCCCCGGGCGAAAAACACTACTTTCATCAAGAAGCGTGGGAAAGAACACTCCTTATTTCTTAAATACCCTCTGGATCTTGTATTTACATTTATGGTTGAGGAAAGCAGAGGAATTAAAACATAAAATAAAAACACATAAAACTTTGTTTACTAAAGAGAACCATATTGTGGCCGGTATTATTATTGTAAAGCAAAACATCAGTATGAGAACCCCAAGGCAGTCATAGCACACTCGACCTTCGCACGACATGCCTTACCCTTTACACACTACTATTATTTTGTTAGGGAACCAGTAACCACTATCATTTCTCTGGTGTGATTGCTCTATTCAACTAGAAATCTAGATCAATTGAATTGAATGATAATATCATGTGATTTTTTTTTACTGTGATTTCTTTTTCAACAATCATGACACAAAGACTTTGGCAATGAGAAAAGAACACACCCATGACCTCCCACGCAGCCATGAATCACGGACTGGGAGAGTATGTGATCATTTTCATCACGAATGTTTGGCAATTGACTTCATAGGACTTGCGGGTATATAGAAATGTGACCCATTGTATATGTCACTTTTGACTGACAATATATACAAAATGTCTGCAGATAATCCACAGAACTTCCAGCTAAACGCACTCGGCGAATAGGCAAATGAAACATTGACACTTATTTCTATCGTTGAATTCTTGAAGTGATTTTCTGCAAGATGAGAAGTCGAAAGATCATCTCAAGTAGCATTATAGCCGCGTGTCAACTGATGACACCCGCAAGCTGAATATTAGTATTTAAATATAGGCTTACTCATATTTCGATTTTGACAAAAGAAGATATCATTGTACTGAATCGAACTTGGGCGGATGAAATAGACTCGCTGTCGCTTCCGCCTTGCACGAACATAGTGGTACATGTATTAAATTGACTGGAGCAGACATCAAGACGATAACATTATAACTTGCAATAACCTATGTGCAATATGCACAGCTCGCTTGACGGTCGTCTACGGGGTTATATATTCAAGTGTAATAACTGGTGCCAGAGATGGATAACACAGTTGTGGTGGTTTTATTCCTAAGTATTGCCATCGTACTCTTATTACTGGTTCTTTTGATATTAGCGATTTACGTCGCCTTTATGAAATGGAAGAAATATCAGCGACGACGTTCGGAGAGGGGAGGGGATGGAGAATTCCGGATGTCTCTTATCAATACCGTGAATCCCCACACCCAGTCAATCACATCAATGACTGGTCTACAAACGATGGCTCGTGAGAATATGAAGGCGATACCTGCCTATGACCCAGACATTGAGGATGAAGAGTTCCAGAATGGTTCGGATCCAATATGTGGCCCTTGTGTTAGTGACTCGGGTGTCCTAGGAAAAGATTTGAAAGTGTCTCACGAGCAGCTTGATTTGATAACCCCAGATAGATGTGGTAGCGGTCGCCTAGATAGTGAGCTAATAGAGCTGCTAAAGACGGATATGACGGAGAGCACTACTGTAAAGGTCGACAGCAAACTACTAGTATTCATATCGAGAGAGATCGATGATTTAGGTGGAACTCTTGTTTTGGACAAGATGGGTATCTCACTTCTAATTCCACCCTGTGCCATCCCTCGCGGTAAGAAGCAGATCATCCAACTGGCAAGTGACTGGGAACTCAGTGACTACCCACCAATGACAGACACCCAGACTATTATAAGTCCTGTGGTTCACTGTGGTCCACATGGGCTTAAGCTCTTAAGACCAGCCATCCTTAGCCTAATGCATTGCGGTGATGATGTTCAAGACATCGCGGTGCTGTCCAGCGAGACGCATTTGACTCAGGACAAACACTGGAAACCAATCCAGCATCGGAAGAAATGTGGCAAGGTTCAATACGCTCTTCTTGAAAACCAGTGTCAGGTGTACCTATCTCACTTCTCTCTGTACACCTGTATCGCACAAGGTTCACATCCTCGGTTGACCAAGAAGTGGATTCAGCTTGCCGCTTTCGGAAAGAAGGAGGGAGGACAATTCCAGGTGTTTATATACATGCTCAACAACACACCATGTGCTCTGCAATTTGCAATCTATCAACAATCAAAATACAATTGCTCAATGATTCGATGTCCCTTAGAGTTCCTGATTGATGAGGAAGGAGGAGACCTCGTCTTTGATTTGAAACACGTGAGTGAGGGGTGGAATCCTGTAGGACGCAAGTGGGAGGAGATCGGCCGCTTTCTTGACATCTGGCAAGAGAAGTGCAACAACATTTCCTTCATATTCAAACACGATAATCCATCCTGCACAGACCTCAACTTCAATATCTGTCTCTTTCAGAAGGACATGCCTGACGTCAAGCGACACTTCGAAGTTGCCATGTCGTTTCCATGTAAGAATCCAACCTGGAGCACTGCTGAGAGTCAATCACACGCCACCACCAATCTAACTGTGCATGTTACACAAGCAGTGCCTTCTATAGTCACCAACGGACTCGAGCGTAGTCTTTCATCGACGCCATCAGAGACGGCCTTTACCAAGTCGACGGTGCATGGGGGAGATCGCCGTCATGATGACCCCGTGATCAATGACAAGAGCACCACCGCTAATGTTCACGATAATGATCTCTCGTTTGACAGAGGCGGTACTGATGATGATGAAGTAGCTGACACTATGTTAATGACCAGCTCACATTCTAAATCGACGAACACAACAAACATCAATATTCACACAGTAAGTAAATCTAAGGGAGAGATTGCCTCCTCTCTCATTCTTGTTGGGTGACGAGTCCTCTTCATAGTGTTTCTTCTCATTTCTTTGGGTAACAGTTGACCGACGGCCTGCGAGTACGACGATTGGCGAGGCGAGACCGAAATTGTCTTCTCGCGAATCGTCTAACAATGATAATAATAACAACAATGGCCAGATATATAGCACTGAATTGAGGTTTAATTGTGAAAATGACTAAATATTGCGCGAGGGTTTGTATTCCTGGATAAGTTGTTGCATATAACTTGGTGCCAATTCATGAATACATTTATAAGTTAAAACCAAGATTTTGTAAATAATGTGGTACATCACCGGCAACCAATACAATTTGCGAAGTACAGGAGTAATTTGTTCACAAAAAACGTTTGCGTGTTACAAGCCTGACAGCAGAGTTTTGGATTCCCTGGAGTTTTGCAATGTGCGAGTCCGGAAGGCCATAAAGAAGGCTAATATTGCATTGGTCAAGACGGCATGCGATAAATGCGTATATAAGCGTTTTGGTGAATTTTTTTATCAAGAAAATTTATAATACGACCTATCTGGTACAAGGAATATGAAGTTGACTTATCCACTAGTCCACAACACCTCTACAACACTGTTTAGGGTACATGGATGATGGATGACAATCGCTCATGAAAGACATATCGGCCTTGCGGACATGAACCTTTGACAAAATTCGAAAGGGTTCCCAAGAGCGACTGTCATGTGCTGTCGGTTCATTGGGCCATCTGTCATCTGTGCCTGGTACATATTAAGATTTGTCTTCTTATTTTACCGTCGTCCACTATATGCCTACAAGGGATAATTTGATTCTTTAGACGTCACCAGGCTAATCTTCACGTATGTTATGTAAAACATTTCTTTACGTATGTTAGTGATTTTTCTAGCCACTTAAATAATTTGGGCAACCGATTTTACTACCGATTATTTGTCATAACATAGGTGTGTCGATAAAAGTCATTCTTTACAACTGTGTGTGTTTCTCTTCTTTTTATACCAAGGAGATGATAGTGCAACCTCCTCCTGATTTACCTGATAACTTTGATCTCCTGCAAGACGACCTTCCTGCCGCTGTCTTCCCTCTTCGGCTCCGGTCGAAGCTCATGGCCTTGCTGGACCCTCCCAGTTCCCTCACATCCTCGGTCAATGACTGGCGTGTTCTGGCTGAAAGTCTCAATCTAGATTCCTTGGTGAGTCTGATTCGTATGAAGCCAAGTCCTACTGAGGAATTGTTGGACGTCGCAGCGCAGAAAGGAAAGGACTGTCGATGGCTCTATGGAGTACTTCGTGACGCAGAACGGTACGACGCGGTGGACGAGGTAGCGAAGTACCTGGGTGATGGTATCGAATCGTTGAGACTAAACACTCATGTGGAGGAAGATTAGTATGAATGCTGATGAGGTTTTTTGTGGTTTAACAAACTTATAATTATTATAATGCAGGACATGCAGAGTTACTAATATGTTATGCTAATATAACATATAGCTTTCTGCATAAATACTTTGAAAAGGACGAAATTAAAAGTTTTCAACGTTTTATACGATATGCCATAGTTTTAGATCGACCCTATTTCTGATATGCTATCTCATTGAAGAGATATGGAATAGTGTGTATGGCCGATCTCTTTGACGTAAAGGGTGATGCCAGCGTACACCCAAGATAGGGATATCCCAGTAAACCGGCAGCCCAAGGACCGATGGCGCACGGGGCCGGCAGCCCTAGAGACCGATGGTGCCCGGTGCCGACAGCCCTAGAGACCGATGGCGCACGGGGCCGACAGCCCTAGAGACCGATGGCGCACGGGACCAACAGCCTGTCGGTCTTGTGAACTCTCTCAATAAAGCTATGTGAATGTCTCGTGGACCTCGTCGGTTTCCTGGACCTGCTCCTGACAACTTTTCAGAAGTTCTGCTGAACCGACATTGCCGATTCGTTAGTTATTCCCCCCCCCCCCCACGATATGCACTCATGTATACACGTAAGGTTGGAAGCTGATGAAATCCTAAGTGTCCCAACAGTGTGTAAAATTATCATGATGAAATATCTGTGTTTTGTAGAAAAGGTGTTCCCCCCCCCCCCCTCCCCCTCGAACAACATTTGGTGTCAAGAATGATTCGTGTAATCCCTTCTATAAGTTCATGATTGATGGATTAATGTAAAGGCTATATTCATACGGAGTAAACAAAATCTAAAATCATACACAAATATATTATATTGTGATCATAATTAACTGCACTGATGAATAAAGGATGGTGGGGTCATTATATATTGCACTTAAACTACACTATATTATTTAAAACATAATTTAAGAATGTACATACTAACAACACACGAGACTTTCCGTCTTTTTCTTTGTTCAATAGTTATTCATTAATCCTTATACGAACTTTAAAGTGTAAATTGATTATGAGAAAATAAGATAAAAGGCTTCTTGAAAATGTCATGTCAGTCTTTTTGGTCGAGTTACAATTCTTATAGAGAGAAACTTGATAAAATAAAGCTAACAAAAGAAATGGCTGTTTCTTGTCTAACGAGAAATGTGATTTCACATCATATCAAATCATTTGCACGTAGACAAAATGAAACTAATAAAAACAATTAGTCGAGTTCGTACATTGACAAAACGTGAATTCCCACGGTTATTCTCTTTTAAATATCTATACTTAAATTTGGACAGGAAATAGGTCCTAAACAACTTGTGATATGTACTCTGTAGGTTTCCATGATGAGTGATTATTCACGATTTTGTTATTTTTATTACATCTTGCTCTTTTATTCATAAACTGAACTTGCTCTGTAATTATGAACAATACAACTCGAAACTCATTCTACTAATCTAACCTCCTTTTCTAGAGCTTTTGCAATCATTCATTTTCCCTTTTTGTTGTATCTTTCTTTTTTTTAATGTCTTTTTATACATGATTTTAATGTAAACGCAAGATGTAAAATCCCACAATGAATTTCCATGTCATTATTGGACGAAAGAAAATTGAATTGAATTGAATTGCCTTCTTCTAATTTCCTCCCATTTTTTCCTCTCATTTATTTTTTCCCCAAAAATCTAAAATTTCTTAGCTACATATTTTGTCTATTTATTGATTTTTTAAGCATACTTTGTTCATGTTATATTGTAAAACAGCGTCTGAGGAACTAACTCAACAAGCTCTGCTTTTAGTTAGTTCCATTTTTCTCGTGCTTTTTCTGTTATATTTTGTCGTTTCTGTGCATATTTTTGTAATTCAATTATTCATTGTACTATGTTTTGCAAGAGAAATAAAATTATTTGAATTTAAAAAAAAAACTTGAATATTGAATATTGAGTCTCTATTCTATACAATGGATATCTTTATGGGAATCGCATCCAGGAATTGAAGGATGATGGGGGTAGTTCTTTCGGGGGGGGGGGGCGTAGCGTATCTCGACAGCCCGGTGTACAATAGCCCCTTTACAGATTATATCTACCCCCCCCCTTGGAAATGATATACGGGAATGCTACCATTTTGAGCCCCTGGTATTTGAGATCCTGATGCCGGCAATTTTCAACACTATCCATCAAAAGAGCGACAAAGAATGTTATGAAACTATAATATAAACCCTTAATACCCTTAATGTCTACGCTTATGTCTTATTACAATGCATATTCTTTTTTTGTCTTTTATTGTCTTTTATTGTTGTTATAATTATGTATTTTCAGAGTAGTCATACTGTCAAACTTTACTTCTTTTATCAATCCTCTTGTTTGACGTAATATTTATATTTGCCTTTCATAGCCAGCCTATTCCTGTGTCGTATACAATTTTGTTCTAACAATTTGTTGTCATATTATGCGCTATTACTAATCTAATTCTGTGTTTACACTCATAACATATTATGCGCTCTTACTAATCTGATTCTGTGTTCACGCTCATAACATATTATGCGCTCTTACTAATCTGATTCTGTGTTCACACTCATAACATATTATGCGCTCTTACTAATCTGATTCTGTGTTCACACTCATAACATATTATGCGCTCTTACTAATCTGATTCTGTGTTCACACTCATAACATATTATGCGCTCTTACTAATCTGATTCTGTGTTTACACTCATAACATATTATGCGCTCTTACTAATCTGATTCTGTGTTCACACTCATAACATATTATGCGCTCTTACTAATCTAAAACTACTAGGTGGTTAAATGTTTTGAATGTATTTATCCAAGGCTGTTATACAAGATTTATATCTCTGAAACGGCTTCCTGCACTTCCAATTATGATTTCTATAAGACCTGAGATAAAGATGCTTTGCTTTGATTCGTTTTCTTAGAAGGTTGTAGAATGCCTTGCCAATATAATTACATTGCTTGCACGGAACACAATTTCCTATCCTATTATATTCTGCGTTTATCTCAATAAAGGTGCTTTACAGATAATATCATTATTACCCCGGTCATCGGATTTAGACTTGCCTGCATACGATGTATGCACATTTTCCACTCCCCGTGGAGCATACCAGGTGACATTTGTACAGACGCTCACAATGCTGAGCGAACTGCATTTACCTTTCACCTTGTTGTTTGTTTGCTGTGGGTTTGCTGTATAGGCACGTGTTTGGCTAAATGCCTGATTCCTCTAACCCTCCGTGATGCAAACAGGGAAATCCCATGGAAATATTTCGAAATACTTATATTTGGTATGCTATTTCCACTACACCGCCTATATCCTGTCGGAGGGCTCAAACGAAAATAGTGTTCATAATATGTATATAAAAATATATTTTTCTCTTATCCTCAAGCGAGATTTTTATTTCCATAATAGTAATTTGTACATTAATAACTCAATGATTGAGTGAAACATAACATAGGCTAAATATTAAAGTATATTCAACAATTCTTCCAGCTTAGTATTATTTTCTTTGCTAACACAATGTCAGGGGCGGATCTAGGGAGGGGGTTTCGGTAGTTTAACCCCCCCCCTTGGGCGGCCAAGTGAGTAAAAAAAGAAGAAGAAAAAAGTAAAAACAGTAAAACGGCGCATTTTTTTTGGAAAATCCTGGATCCGCTACTGGGTCAACCCCCCCCCCCTCCCCCCTGGCAAAAAGCTAGATCCGCCCCTGTATGTACAGGGCGTATCGCGTGAATCCACCTACTGAGGGATGATAGTGCACTGGAAATATTTTTGGGCATCGGTCTCTCTCGGTAATGATATGCGAATAAACAAGGCTAAAATGATAAGGGGAGAGTACGGAGGTGGTCAGGGCGTTTTCTTTTCTGTTACTTTCTCCCTTCCAATTTCCTTTCTTATTTGCCCACTCAATGGGTGGTGGCACGGGGGGGGGGGGGGGGCGTGTATCTATTATTACGCCACTATTTGTGTTTCTCTCTTTTGATGGTCACCAAGTTCCTGGTGCATTACGCCTATATCTATTACTGTAGACATGACCTATCAGGCAACGTAAGTAAATGTATATTCAGTAGAGGATTATGGGAAGAGAGATTCATAGGAGGGAAAGGGATGGGATGGAGGGAGGGAGAAAGAGAAAGAGAGAGAGAGAGAGAGAAAGAGAGAAAGAGTGGAGACAATATATTTAACTTGATACCTGACAAGATAACAAGCCATACAGCTTGAATAATATAGTCTGATAACATTATTCTACATACAACAAATCGTAATGAAATATAACTGTGATTATTAAAAATATGCATACCTAGATATACAGATAGTCGGAATCATTTAGCTTATAGTTACAGTGGCGGATCCAGGGGGGTAAACTGAATTCACACAAGGATTAACAGTAGAGAAAAGTACGACGAATGGTCTTCTTTCTCTAATAATTAAATAAAACGTCATAGCTTCTGCGCTTCGCGTGGGATGGGTGAAAGGGAATTCAGACAAGGATTGAGAATAATAATTTAATGAAACGTCATAGCTTCTGCGCTTCGCGCGGGAAGGAGGTAACTGAATTCAGACAGGGATGAAGAGTCGAAAACATTACAACGAATCGTCTTCTTTCTCTAATAATTAAATGAAACGCCATAGCTTATGTGCTAGACGCGGGAGGGGTGAAACAAGAATTAAGAGTCGGGAACGGTACAACGAATCGGGAGGGTGCCGGGGGGGGGGGGACTGAAAATGACTTAGTTCCTAGCCCCGCGGGTTCATAGGGTTAAATTTGTAGACATCGGGACATTAGCATTAATATATTTGTCGGTAATTTGTGGCTAGTTTTGTCGGTAATCAGTGGCCTCTAAACCCCCTCCCCTAGCAAAGCTCCTGATAACAGCTCAGTTTATACACTCGAGATAATTTTTGCAAGTACTATTGGTGGAGTACCAGATCAACGTCTTTGTGCATTGTGCAGCAACGAAGCGTCTCGCGACGTATAACAGATCACTTTTCTCTAACTTCTAAACAATCAAAAGGCCTCGTTTTTTTTCCAGGAAGTGCGCTAAATGGGGTTCTCAAATTGCAAATGCTTCCTACTCAGGGAGGGAGTTCTGACCCCCTCCCAGACCCACCACCGCTTCGTCACTCACCTCCCTCGCCGCTGTCGCGTTGCTCTGTCGCTTCGTTCCATCGTTTTTCATATATTTCACCCCATGCGATTTTGTGCCCCCCCCCCCCCCCGGTAAGAAATTCCTGGGTCCGCCACTGAGTTATTATGCAAGATAGTTTCGTAAAATGGTTGCTGTTTTGCTATCCAAGTAGGCTGCTGGCACCGGCATGAATGTAAAAGGTGGAAATAGTTGACTTAGATACACGCCGTCCAAGATGGACTGCGGTATTTGAACACAGGATTGAATCATTAGCCCCAGTATATCCCCTGTTTGGGGGAAGAGAGCAATGAATCCATGAAGACCAGTTTAATCCTCCTGTAGCTAGAATCATTTAGATCCCTAGAATTCCCGAAGAAAGTTCCTTTTAAGAATAGGAAAATAAATATTTTTCGTCTTTATAT